GTAAGCATTGGAAATCTATTACTAAATGCTTGCAGATTTAATACTTTATAAATGTAGTTTTACAACTAGGTTCAGCAACAAACACCACGCCTCGAACACTTCTCATTTCCGCCCAAAAGTATTTAAGCACACCTGATGCATTTCCCTCTCTTCGACGCATTTTTCACATCCCACCCACCCAATCCCTTCTCGCTTCTCACGTCTTTCTCTTCTCCTTTCTGCGTATAGGAACCAGTGGGAGTTCTATCCGAAGCCGAGCTCACGAAGAGACAACTCCCCGACTCAGTCTCACTCCCATGATCCCCCTGTGTTCCTGTCTTCGACCTACACATCCGTCATAGCACTAGCCGGCTACCCAGAAACCCAGCATTCATCCCTTGATCTTCATCCTGTCATCCCTAACCTTTCATCCATTCGTCCCTCGACCTTCATCCCTCAACCCTCCGACCCTCGTCCCTTATCCATTCAACCCTCATCCATTCGTCCATCAACCTTCATCCCTCAACCCTCCGACCCTCGTCCCTTATCCATTCAACCCTCATCCATTCGTCCATCAACCTTCATCCCTCAACCCTCCGACCCTCGTCCCTTATCTTTTCAACCCTCATCAATTCGTCCATCAACCTTCATCCCTCAACCCTCCGACCCTCGTCCCTTATCCATTCAACCCTCATCCATTCGTCCATCAACCTTCATCCCTCAACCCTCCGACCCTCGTCCCTTATCCATTCAACCCTCATCAATTCATCCATCAACCTTCATCCCTCAACCCTCCGACCCTTCAACCCTCATCCCTTCATCTCTCCACCCTTATCCTTTCATTCTCTAATCCGTCTATCCTAACCCCTTCACGCTTTCCTCCGAACCCATAATCTATCAAATGCAATAAACCATTTGAAATCTTAACTTATTGGTGTGGTCCTTGTTAGTGAATATGGCATAAATTTAAATGTTACAAAAGTTGTTAACCAATAGATTTTGGTACAGTCACTCTGCAGGATTTGTGGCCCAAAGTAGCTACCGGAACAACTACATAACTCTAAAAAGGATAAATCAAGTTTCCTGCTGGAGGAGGATGAACACCCGCTGAGGTGACTCTTCACAACCTTGCAAGCTAACACCTTATAAGCTCTTTATAAAGCATGACTTCTCAGGAAGTGGTACCTAAACCTGCCAGCAGTTTCTAGCCCTATTCTTACATTCAGCACCACTGCCTGTATTTATAGTCTCACTGTCTGCAGTGACAATGCACAGTGGTTTAAATCTCACTGTCAAAGTGTCATCAGCGTATATTACCCATATTAGGAGACACTTGCTGTCTGACAGCTCTGCTCACACTTCCTCTTCCTGTTGCTACACAGCACCCACTCTGACCTGCGTTTCTCTACGTCGCCTACATATTTGTTAGTTTCCAGACAGACACAAAAGTCGTGCATCTGTTACCTGATGTGCTCTTTACGTCCTGAACCCTCAATGGTCTTGGCTCCCCACCTCTGCTCCTGCTCTGATACGTCATTCTGAAACACAATGTCAAAAAAAGTTTGACTGACGCACACACACACCCCAAATATGATGATACACATCTCCAGGACGTTTACAGCACCTCAAAATCAGGGTCTGTCTCCCAGTCGTCGCCCTCTGCAGCCACCTTCATGCTCACATTGTGGCCCACGACTGACTTCCACATCTGGGGAAGTAAAACACACAATGAGCCACAGAGCTCTGATTAACAATCATGTGTTCACAACGTCATAAAAACTGTTATACCTCTATGCACTTACAGTCTATTTGCTGTGTTTTTATTATGAGGACTAAATTTAAACTACAAGCTCTGCCAACCATTTGCTGAAGTCTCAAAAAGGAAGTTATTTCAACACCAAGCTTCATTTCCCCATAATGACACACACTTCAGCACTTCATGGAGTAAAGACACTAAAATACTTCAATAAATAGCACCATTACAGCATATTATTTAAGATAATACTTCACGTAGAGCTTAAGATCCTCTGTAACATACTAGAAATTATATTATTTCTTCAGTGTGGCATAAAAAATATTCTTTATATTCATTTAATTAATGCTAAGTTGCTAATTATCACTTTTGCTTTAATGTATATTATATTTTACTGTCATAAATGGAAGTTATAGGTAAGTAAATGTAGTAGAATTTGACATAATATTGAACATACAGGTCCATAAAATACAAATGCTACCTAAAGTTAGCCCCTATCATGTAAATGTATTGTTTTGGCATCCATGTCTTGCTAACGTCTGCCCCAACGGTTTACTGTACATCAGCTTAACTACGTCTGACTAAATTCACTTCCTTAATACAGTTTAAAGTTAAATAAAATAAAAGTACACCCATATAACCTTATTAGAGTTAGTTTAAAGAACAAAAACTATCGTTACCTTTTAGTTGTCAGGGTTAATTATCCGTGTAAAGGTGGAGTTTACACCGACAAGTGTTGATGAACTTCTTCCCTCAGGTTGTCACAGCTTGATGGGCGACAAGTGAACGCGCATCGGGCGCACGTGAGCGCGCGTTGATGTAAATAATCGCACAAATATCGTCCATTTTTATAGTAATTTAATCAAAAACACGTATATAACGTTGCCATTGTAGCATAAATTATGTATATGTAGTTTAAAAAATAAATTAATTTATATTTTTAAAGAAATTAAGATAGTAAATTATGATGCGTTCAAGTATGCACGGAAATTAGAGATTTAGCGACCAGACGAAGCGGTGATGACAGTAAATGCGGTGTTTTAGGACACAGAAGCTGCAGCAGAGACTTTAGCCAACAAGCAGTTAATCCCACTAACATTGACAATGATGGGCTGTCACTTTTAGTTAAATTTTCCTACTTTAAATAGAGACACCTCAGTTGAAAACACACACTGAACAAATATTTAAACGCAACACTTTTTTTTTTTTGCTCCCATTTTCAAAGGTATTACATTAAGGATCTAAAACTTTATGTCAAGCACTCAACAGATATATAGCTCTCAAATTTTGGTCACAAATTTAATATCCGTGTCAGTGAGCACTTCTTCTTTTCCAAGATCCATCCTCCTGACAGCTGTGGCATATCAACATGCTGATTGAACAGCATGGGAAATGTACAGTTTGATCACCAAACACTATACCACAGATGTCCCAAATTTTGAGGGAGCGTGCTAGTGGCGTGCTGATCACAGGAATGTCCACGAGAGCTGTTGCCCTTGATCTTAATGTTCATTTCACTACCATAAGATGTCTCCAATGATGTTTCCCTGAATTTGGCAGCACATCCAACCAGCCTCACACTGCACAAGCTGGTTATAGTGACGAAATGCTGTCAGGTTAAGACCCTGGTGAGGACGATGAGCATGCAGGTGACAGTTTCTGATGGTTTGTGGAGAAATTCTTGGCTGTGCAAACCATTTGTTGCATTACCTGTCTTGCAGGTGAAGACACTGGATGTGAAGGTCCTGAGCTGGTGTGGCTACATGTGGACTACAGCTGTGAGGCCGGTTAGATGTACTGCCAAATTAAAGGGATCGGAATTGGTAGTGAAATGAACGTTAAGGTCACGGGCAACAACTCTGGTGGACCTTCCTGCAGTCAGCATGCCAATGGCACGTTCCCTCCCTCAACCTTGAGACATCTGTGTCCTGTGATCAGACTGCACATTTAAGAGTGTCCTTTTATTGTGACCATCCCAAGACACACCTGTGTGGTAATGACGCTATGTAATCAGCATGTTGATATGTCACACCTGTCAGGTGGATGGATCTTGGAAAAGATGAAGTGCTCACTGACATTGATTTCAACAAATACGCCACCAAAACTTAGCAGAAATACATCTATTGAGTGCATGAAAGTCTTAGATCTCTAAATTAAATCTGTGAAATATGGGAGAGAAACTAAAGTGTTAAAGTTTTGTCTAGTGCAGTTTTTTCATGCACTTAGCAATTTTGAGATTAATGATTATTTTGCTTCTCTTCTTTCAGACTAGTGGAAAGAAAACATCCAAAATACAAATTAAGGTGTTCATTTTTGTACAGATTTCTGTTCTGGAAATGTATCCAAAAAGTGCATATTTAATTTAACAATGCACCGTCTGCATTTGGGATATATACTTGAAATCTTCTGCTAGTGTCTGAGCCAGAAATCTCAACTTCAGCAGCACTTACATCCACCAAACTTTCCAGTTTTATTCCTTTCCATAGTCTGAAGGTTTTTACAGATAGGTTTGTTCATATATCATTCATAGCCTGATTTATATAACATTTTATTCCCAAAACAAGGTTAAAAATTAGTTTTGTGGAATGAAAAAAAAGCTCTCCAAATTTCCCTCTGTGAAACCCTTTGACTCTAATATGATTATAAAGTGAAACAAGAATTTTGAACCTGGCTTTAGCAATGCTCAGATCTCTGTTCAGGAAATAAATCAGTGTGTATTTAAATAGATTGTGCCTCATTTGCATATTTAAGCATATAATCTGAGAAAACTTGTCTTATAAAACATAAAAGCCTGACTGTAAGTAATGAGCTGGGGAAGTTTCACGGTGATATGTGTTAGTCAATCACCTGTAATGCTTCCCCCTTAAAACAATTTTAAAAGCAGAACCTGGATGCAGTCAGTTACTGCTGTGTTTTAAGCAGCTGTGGTGTAGTTGTAACACTTGGGGGCAGACTTACACAGCTTATACCCAACAGCCACAGGGACAGGAAATAAACGTTGGAATGATTGATGATTGTGAGTATTCAAACTCTAAAATTATAGTGACTACTCAATAAAATCACAGTATTTTGTTTGGTTTTTGTTGTTGTTTTGTCAGGAAACTGGGTTCAAAACCATCACTTAATATCAGAAAGAAATATTAAAATAGTTATTAAACATTATTCTTTTAGATCCATGCTGAGTTTAGATATGTCATTAAATCTTATTTGTACCATTTTAACTTCCATATTCAGTGATTAACTGACTGACAACAGACAGACACAATGATATGATATGAATGTTTAGTCTTTATTATGTGCTTTGAGCACTGCTGCAAAAAGTGATGGTGAGTTAAAGGTCCAGTGTTCAGGATTTAGGGGGTATATTGGCAGAAATATAAGTATGTTTTCTTAAGTGTGTAATAATCAGACAAACCAAACACTGACTCTAAATAGGGCCATTTCCATTATTGCATCAGCCGTCGTAGTTCTTCTACATGGTTGACACATGGTGTAAGTTTCAGTTGGTTGCAGTCCACAACTTGAGCCACTAGATGCCGCTAAATCCCTTACACCAGACCTTTAAGTGTCAGCACAGTGTGTTTACATGATGCTTTCTCCCACATTGAGAAGCACTGTAGTGTTTATAAGACCAGCACTTAACTGTGAGCATTTTAAAACGTCACAGTTTATCATGACCCACACGTATAAACGTTTGCTGAAACTCACTCAAAATCACTGATTAATGACGACCCATTTATTCTTAATGACTTCACAAATAAAAGGAAAAAAAACCCAACGTGTTTAAAATCATTGAACTGAAAAGTAACTGAGCCCAAAATAAAAAGAACAAAAGTCCCGATGTCTGTTTTTGTTCGACAGACACAAATGAACATGTTTGACAGGATCTGTCCCTGATCTAAACCACCAACAATTTTATTACATTTTAGTTTTCTATACAGCCCTTTTTTTAAAACAGTTATTTACAGATAAAGTTTGTGTACGACGTGAAGGACATGAACGTTAAAAGAAGACGAGTACAGAGGAATCTTTTCACCAACAGAGAGCGATTAAATAATGAAGAGAATGATGTCGATATACGCGTAGGTGGACCATAGTAACTGTTATGGGCAATAAATTATGCTACATCCGAGTAGTTTATGATGGGATGGATATCATTAGAAAACACAGCAGTCTTTCTCCTCTGGAATGAGTCCACACTGTGGTAACATTGCACCTCAACGGCAGCTTCACCTGCCATAAAAACTACAGAGCACACTGTAAAATCTAAATCTGTGCAACACAAGCATGGACAGGGAATATTTTTGGATATGTACGAGGGGAAAACCCACATCCAGCTGATGTGCATCATACATGTACATATATGTACAAATATCAATATAATGCTCCCACTGATTTATAGAAGAAGAAAAGAAGAGAGAAATGAAAACACAACAGGAATGTGTAAGAACAGAAATTGCACTGTGCTCCGTTTTTGTGCATGAAATGAGTAGAAGAGGAAGAGACTGGACTATAACAGCACATCCTGAACCTCAAGCCATCTTTAAATAAAAATCACATTTTGGGAAAAAGGCTTTTCGCTTCCAGGTGAGAGTTACACCTCCTCCTAACATACAGAATGCATTCAGGGCCCTGAGTGAACCTAAGCGACAGCTTGGTGTTTTAAAAGCAGGTTGGAGGTGCGTGAAGCTTCGCCAAAACAGAGCCAGGGTGAGTGGTTCATCAAACAAGCGACACTGACACATGAAGCAGGTCAGGACATCTTCACTGGGATCTGGTGTAATAAAACAAAATCTGTGAAGTCATCCACTGTCTTTTCCTCTGCCTTTTGGTTTCTGGGTTTAGTGATGGAGTGCTCACTTGTTCTGCTGAGTGTGTCCTAAGGTCAGAGAAATGCTGCGAGTCGAGCGAGACCTGTTCCTGACTGGCCGCAAAGCAAACCAGTAAGCGAACAACCATCAAATTGTTTCATAGTTTCCCGGTGAAGATGTCCTAACCCGGTGGTTCTCAGTCTTTTTCATGTCAAGGACCCCTAAATTAATTCACATCAGGTCATGGGCTCGAAAAGGCTCCGCAAGGTGTCGCTTGTTGGAAAACTGCTTGCTCTGGCTCTATTTTGCCTCCAATTTATCTTCAGAGCAATAGAAAGCTGTTTCTGAGGCTCACTTGGGGCCCACTGCGCTCCCTGAATGTTGTTGCTCGTAGTCGGGCCCCCAGGAAAGCCGCTCAGCCTTGCAGCCAATTGTTCCCAAGTGGCCACTCTCAGTTTTCCAGCAACAAAAATCCTCTGTCCCCCAAAAAGCATTTCCCCCATAGGCCACCATTATAAAAGAGACGTCTGTATAGCTGTAGAACTTTTCGACCCATGGAGGTTTCATAGTTGTAAAACTTTCCTGGAGCCGAGAAAAGGGATTCAAAAATCTGTGATGTCATCACAATGTAAAGTACACAAGCCAAGCGGGAACTTGTGGGTGGTAGGTGTAACTGCAGCTGAAGCAGCTATGTGACTCACCCACCATACTTACACGTCAATCCACTATCAACCTCCTTCGCCCCTTGGCCCAGGAAGCAGAAGCCAAAAATGCTACGCTAGTGATTACCTAGCTGTGAAGTAGTAATGTAAAAGATAGGGTAAGGGTAAAGGTAAGACTTTCATCTGAGCCTTATTCACTACTCTGTGTTGTAGCAGGGTTCAGATAACCGTCCCAATGTTGGGTTTATTTAATATTCGTGGTGGGCACGGGGAATGTCGTGTACGCTACAAATGTAATGTGTCTGCAGCTATACTTGTCTCTACGTACCAGGCGAGCCGTTCCATTGGAATCAATAGGCGCCATCTTGACATCGGACATCAAGGTATTATAATAAATCCATGCTCTAAGTACATCTGGACACTTGTTTGCGTTCCATCTGTATGTTAGAAGAGGTGTATCATGACAAGATGGACACCACTGACTGTGGCGTCATATTTAACAAAACCTGTAGCTTAGTCCCCAAAATGTCCGACTTCTGCTCTAACTTAAAGTGACCCTTTTATGTTCATATCTAAAGGCACGTGAAGAACACCATCTGCCAACACACTTGATTAGGAATCTACATTTTTACCCACTAAAACCACTGATTTTTAAACAGAAATATTAGTCCCTTTATGTCCGCTCTGCTTGGGTTTCCCTCAAAGTTAAAACCAATGACAACAGTTTCCTATTTAACTCCACATACTTTGGCTAAAAGACTAAGTCCTGTAAAGTGCAATGTTTGTGTGTCGAACTTCCCTCACACCCTTCTATAACTCATTACATGTCACAATATAAAACATATTGATGGCTTGGGTTAGGTCTGTGTCACACTTCCATTTTCTCTCCCCTCCTCTCTCTGTCTCTTATCTGTGAGTTTTCTTTTTTTTTTAAAGGAGCTGGTTTCAGAGGTATCCGCCCAGACACAGCAGCAGCAGGACGTGCACGGTGAGCAGATAGAGGCTGAACAGCAGAGGGGTGCGCTGGCGGGAGCAGAAGGCCACTCGGAGCATCCGCATCAAACCCGGGCTGCTCCTTCGAGTCTGCGAGAGAGGGAGGGAGGAACAAGGTTACGGGAAAACATTCGAGTCATGTGTCTTCATTATCGCAGTTATTAAGATGACAGATGAGGTGGTACAGGACATTAGCGCAGCCTTACTCGAGTGACAACTCCTTCTGGCTCGATAAGGACAGCAGTCTCTGAGTGATCCTCGTCGTGTGCAGAGTGCCATTTTGTCTGGCTGTGACTAATAATAATAATAATAAAAACAGATGTTAGCCGTCATATTCTGTTGATTCAACACATTTATCAGGGCTGAAAGATGAATTATTCAGATGCAGAGAAACAACAGAAAGCACCTTTTATCAACTGTTATAGCAGAATATGATCATTAGTCTCAATATTATATAATTAAAAACAATTAATCAAGAAAAAAACAATCTTTTACACACTTTTTAACATTAATTTACGCAAGAAAAATAAAATACAACATGAAAAGCAGCTGTTTGAGTGTGAATACTTTTAGCTATTCTTAGTCTATAATATATATAGTATTATAATTAACAGCATATCTTTAGGTTTTGGACTGTGTTAGAGAAAACAAGCAACTATTTGATGATGACGTACAGATGTCAGATGGCACTGGACATCAATATGATGTCAGAAAGACGCTGGACTCGGGGCGTCGGTGGCTTAGTGGTAGAGCAGGCGCCCCATGTACAAGGCTGTTGCCGCAGCGGCCCGGGCTCGACTCCGGCCTGTGGCCCTTTGCTGCATGTCACTCCCTCTCTCTCCCCTCCCCTCACACTTGACTGTCCTATCCATTAAAGGCAAAATGCCCCAAAAAATATCTTTAAAAAAAAAAAAAAAAAAGAAAGAAACACGCTGGACTCTTAAATTGGACAGACTTTAAATTTTGGTTGGAATGAAAATCGGATTGATGGTATTTTAAATGTCTAATGACGTTAGAATTTCACATTGTGTGGACGTTAACATCATGATGTTTCGCAGACGTTGGGTTTAGTTATGACTAAATGTCCATATTCTCTACGTAAAGATGACGCTGGCAAGAGACGTTTGGGGGATGTGGAACACAATTTAAAACCAACGAAGTATCATCGTTGTCTGTCGCCAGTATTCTACGTCAAATTGATGTTGACGTACGAAATCCTGACATTGAATTTTGGTCAACTGACATCGCAACCTAAATTCAACCAAATATCAACATCTAATGACTTCGCAATTCAGGAAATGGGACCATCCAAAAGCACCTGAATGCAGCGTTAACCCCACAGAGCTTAGTTTTCTGATTCTTTTTTGCTGATTCTTTTTTTTTGTTGGCTGCCAACAGTTAGCTGTTTGGCTCATGAAAGTCTGTAACGCTTTGCTCTACAGGCCCACTGATACAAAAGATGCAGGTAATTTAAAACCAAGAAAGTCAAACTTTTTGGCTTTATATGCCACTGAGCTACTTTCATAGAAATGAATGGGACCCGCCTCCAACGCTGTGTCCAGTTCTCTTTATACATCCATAGGTTAGACTGAAGCGAAACTGTTAGTAAAGTAGGCTGAGGAACCAAAACAATGAGCTGAAAGGTGCTAAAAATCTTTATAGAACAGGTGATAACTACCTGTGATTTTGTCACCAGAAGTAACCCCCCCTTCACATTTACTCCACTGCTGAAACTACAGCACAGGACTTTTCCACATTAATGAATGTTTCATTCAAGCCCTGCCAAACAAGTTCACACAATGATGATTAAGCCGCTCGCTACCACAGAAAGCTTTCTGTACTTCTCATTACAGCAGAAATCTGGTGTTGGGTGTGTATGCCGAATTTCCCACACTGATACTATGCATGCTAAAAGTTTGAAATAAAGATTTTTCTTTTAAAAAACCTAAGAAGAAGAGACAATAGCAATGAAGCAGCAGCTAGGAGTATAGGGGCAGAAATGGCAGAAAATCCAAAGAAAGTTTCTGGAGTGGATGCTCCAGGCAAAAAAGAAACTCTGTGTTCAGTGGAAGGAGTAAAGTTAAAAAAAAAAAAAAAAAAAAAAAGACTTGACGATATTGCTCCTGGGGACAGGGGTGATGCAGTGAGCTCACCTGCAGGCATATGTCGCATGTCGGGTGACAGTGTTTTTGTAATTACTCTAAAAATCGCAGTAAAGTTAAACCTAAGATTTAGATTTTAACACATAATACATGTTAGAAAACACTATACACGTACTGAATTGTGGAGTGAGACTGCTACACTGGTTTTCACCATTTCTGTGTCTAGGATTTGGGCAGAGCTAAAAGCCTGCTCCATGAGGCAGTGAAACAACCCATAGCATAAGCTCCACCCCTTCAATATAAGTACTAGAGCCATTGAGTATTGTCATTGTTTGAAAAATTAAAAAAAAAAATCAACATTCTGTTGCAGACTCAGAAGGACTCGGTCGATTTTCGGGCAGGTATGTGTCCTTTGCCATCGAATTTGATTCTGTCTCTGGTGGCTCAAACATGTATGGCTGTATGAGTCCAATAAAGCTGCTAGATGGAGCATCCATTTTAGAGCGACAATTAAAAGAGGCTGTGGCTTTCCCATGAGTGGGTGTGGCTTCAGCACATTCAGCGGACACACCCCCAGCATCTCAGAGCAGAGAACACTGCCTATTTCTTTTATGATTTTGAAACTCGACAGGATGCTTAAAGACAAATTTTTCTGTGGTATGACAAACACATATTGCCAGAGTGAGAGAAAAAAGCTCCATGCTGCAGGTTTAATGTAAGAAAAAAAATATTTATAGCACCTTAAATTCCCCTTCTTTTTTATCTTGTATCAGATTTCATACCGTTTGAGTCTATCCTGCACGGCCAGCAGCTGCTCCTCAGCAGACACCCTCTGCTGCATCTCGTCATCCAGCCTGACGCAAAAAAGTTTAACATTAATTAGTATCCATATTTTTTCATTATACCACTTTTAAAAACAGAATTTCTGATCAGATTCTTCCTACACTGTACCTTCTCTGTAGCTCTTTGACCTCAGCTATGTAGGTGCTGCTGTCTACCAGGCTGCTTCGCTCCTGTGGGGCTCCAGGAGCGCTGTCCACCTCCTCTGTACCCTGGAGAAGACAAAAAGAAAAATCACATTATATGCAACATCCCTGTCCTGTGTCTTGCCGAATTAATAGTTTAGAAACAGCATGTGTACAGCCTCTAATTTCCAGGGCTGGTACCTGCGGCTATTCCACAGGCTAGTTAATAACATGTCGGGCAGGAAATCCAAAGTGTGGGATCATTTTGAGAAGGTGAATGACGAACCCAAGGTGATATGTAAACTCATCTTCATTGGTCGACTACAGACATGACGTATCATCTGAAACATGGAAGTAGCTACATGCCCATTAGCCAACAGCAACAGTCAAAGTAAAAACATATTTACCTCTCTTTGATAGACTTCCTGCTGAAGTTTGGGCTTGTGAGTGCGGGCTTCCTCCAGCATGGCGGAGAGTTGCCGCAGTTGTTGGTCCCTCTCTGAGAGCGTGGCGAGGGTCTGCTGCTTCAGCTGCTCTGCCTGAGCCATCCAGTCGACACGCTCCAGTCTAACACACACAGGACACACACATTCAGATACAATAAAAGCCTTTTTATGCCACTTTGCTTTGTTAAAACAGCAATGATAAAACGCTATCTCTGTGCCTCACCTGAGAGTTTCTATTTCCTGCTTTCCCATTTCCACCACATTCTCCAGCTGCATTACAGCACCCAGCATGTCTTCATTCTTCTTCTTCTCCTCAAACAGCTCCTGGCTGACTTTAATCAGCTCTCCTGCTCCCAGTCGGGCCAGCTCCGACTTCTGCTTCTTCAGCTCAGACGTCTGTGTTTGAAGCTGCTCCAGCTGCACACAAAGAGAAGTGAAAAAAATATGTTGAAATACTGTAGGTGTCAATGAAAACACAACCCTACATTTATATTCTTTGCCAGTGGAGTTGTGAATCTGTGCGTTTATGAGTAAAATATTTACATTGATTGTGAGACGTGTTACTCACCAGTCTCTCCCTGTCATTCTGCAGGGCTTGTAGTGCGTTCTTCAGCCCCCACACTTCTCCAGTGGAGCCTCCCGGGCTGCTGTGTGCTGCGTGGCCACCTGCCCTGCTCATCTCTTCCAGCTTCAGGCTCATTTCCTGGGCTTTGTTCACTGCCTGGTCCCTGCTGTCCTGGAGGGAGGCCATGGCTTTTGAGAACGACTCGTTCTCCGCTCTCAGCTTTGTAGTCATCTCTTTCTCCTCCAGCAGACTCTGTTCGACGGCCAGCAAGTCTCTGGCCAGCTCTGCCACCCTCTCCTGAGCGCTCTCTGACTCTGTCCGCATCACACCTCCCTCCCATTGCAGCTCGGCAAGCTCTTTGCTCTTGCTCTCGTGCTCTTGTCTCTCCTTCTGTAAGCTCTCCTCCAAAGCCTCCACCTGTTCTCTCGCTGCTTGCAGCTGCTCCCTCAGCTTCTCCACCTCTGCACCAGGAGCATCTATCACCTGTGGTGCTGTCTTAAGGTCAGCAGCCTGGCTAAGAGTCTCCCTCTCCACTCTGACTGCCTCTACTTCTGTCTCTTTGGCGCTGATAACGCTCTGTAACTGACGCTCCAATTCCTCGCGTTGCTTTTCCAGTGAAGCGATTCGCCCTCGCTGAGCTGCCAGGACCTGTTTGTGTTGGGAGTCCTTCATGCTCAGGACTTGGTTCAGTTCATCGCGGTAGCCGTGAAGCTGAGCAGACAGTTGGGAATTCTCAGCATACAGGTCGTCTCTCTGGACCAGCAGAGAGCGCAGCTCTTCTTTCAGGCTGTTGTTCTCCCCTGCTGCCTCCTGGATCAGACCGTCCTTCTCCATCATCACCTGGGACACGAAACAAATATTATAATGACTAATAAAACAAGCTCCACAGATACATCCCTCAACCCCCCTAAACCTTTGTGTTCATGCTTAAGGGTAGGGTGCCCCGATTCTTGTCGGGACAGAGTGTTTAGGCTAATTTAGGGCTAGATGGTCCTCCAAATCAAAGGCACACTCAAAGGAGTGTTATGAGACATGACAGTTGCACAAGCAATGAAACAAAAAAACAAACAAAATATATTTTATTTGTTCTTAAAGATTTTAAAATTTGGATAACCTTCATATTACCTTAATGTTGTTTCAGTGTTTCATGTTCCCCTTCTTTCTTACAAACATGACAAACAAAGTTAAATGACCGCCTCATGTTTGTACGCCTCTGTGAACCAGTAAAGTTGCACTTACAGTTTATATCCCTGTCTGTCCAGACTCATATGGAGCCATGAATCTTCACATAGGATCTGTACAATCAGAACAGTTTCAAGATGGGCACCAAAGATTAGTGTCACTAATTCAGTATCTGACCAAATGTCGCCCCTTCTGTCCTTAAGTTAGGGTGTTGAATAATGGCCGGAGACATGTTTTTGCAGAGTATTATGATGTCACAGTGAAGCTGATCTTTGACTCTTTGGATATAAAATGTCACCACTTTATCATTTTATCCTGTTCGACATTTGTGTGAAACTGTCATAATTAGCGTATAAATTCTCAAGTTATGGCCAAAAAAGTTGTCTCTGAGGTCACAATTAGATCTCATCATTCTTGACTCCAAGTGGACGTTTGTGCCAAATTTGAAGAAATTCCCTTAATGTGTTCTTAGATACCGGGTTCACAAGAATGAGATGTACAGATGGGCGGACAGACAACACAAAAACATGGCACAGAGGCATAAAAACACCAGCAGTATGTTGATGTCTTTGTAGCTAACGAGCTAGCAAGCTAACTCTACATTGTTTTTGCTCATTCACGCCGGACAGTCCCACATTTTGACATACAGGAACCAGGGTGTCTGCGGGGTCTTAAAAAGTATTAAAAGTTGATAAATCAAATGTTGGAAAATTAAGGCCCTTAAAAAGTATTAAAAAGTCTTAATCACGATTTTATGAAGTATTAAATTTTCTTGGCATTCAAGCTTTGACAAAAAGTATCCATGAATGTATAATTTATTTTCCTCCTCGCGACTATTACAAACAACGTGTAGGTAGGCACACTCAGACTGCCACTCGGGGCCGTGCGCATACCTGTGCGACATCACGTGACGGCGCACGTTAGGGCTGTCAACGAATATTCTAAATTCGTATTTAAATTCGAATTTGAAAAAAAAAAATGGACCTTTGAATGTGAAAATTGATATTTGATTGTGGAGAAAAAAAAACACCACCACAGCTGTCCTCTTTGCGAGTGGGCGTTGGCCTGGGCTGCTGCACTGAACGCAGTGCATGACAGGTCAGAGAGGGGGGGCGAGCGGGAGGTCTGCGGTCATTTATAACGTAATGTTATGGATAACTGTTTTATGTGTTTTAATGTGTAGGTATGTAAATGTTTTCAAAGACGTTTATGTTGAAATAAAAATACCTACAAGTAGTTATGTTTCCTTGTATTAATACATATACAAGTATGTTTCCTTGTATTAGTTTGCCCTCTTGTGGACATAATGCGAAAAATAAAATAAAAATTTGAATGGTTCAAACCTATGAGTTATTTTTAGAACGAATATTCGAACGTCACTTTTGAGCAATTTTGACAGCCCTAGCGCACGTACAGGCGCCAAACAGAGGAGCAAAAGACAATAAAAAATCCTTCTCATCTTATCTGACTTCTGTTGTATGTTTGTGCTCCATAGATTTAATTGTAAACTACAACTGTTTAGTAAGTTAAAGATGCGTTGCTGCTAACGACAGCTTGAAGTGGCGATGAGGTCTTAAGGTTTTTTTGGAAGGTCTTAAAAAGGTATTGAAATTAACCTCAGGATTCCTGCATATACCCTGAGGAACTTATGTTGACAAACTCAAGTGTCCTCGTTTAAAACACTCCTCCAAACAGTCCTTTACAGGAAGGCGCCTTTTTTTTTTTTTTTAACAGTAAATCTGTTGTGTGTCTAGTTTCATCCTTCATTTATCAGTTTTATTATCTATTTATTTATTTTAATTACACTGGTTTATCTGGTCTCTGCTGTTTTTATCTTTATGGTGTATACTATTTTATTTGTCTCATAAAGCACTTTGTAACTGTGCTATACAAATAAAGATTACTATTATTACTATTATTATATTTCCATGTTGCATTCCCACCCTTTGATGTCAAATGATGCCTGAAATTTAACTTCAGTCCAGCAGCAAAGTTACTGAACTTGCTATCGCTCCTCTAACATCAGTGTACATTAGAAGGGTGTCTAGGAGCATGGGTTACTAGCGTTAACCTATGAAGCTAACTGCCGGTGGCCTGGTAACAAAGCAGTGCTCTTTTTATCTGAACTTAAGTTGTGAACAGATCTCCATCACATAAATGTTACTGTGATTATACCATTACTGCATCAGTTGAGTCTGCTACCACTGACGTATCAGGATCTTGAAGGGTTGTCCTGTTTCATAAAAAAATAAAAGTGAGAAATAGTTTGGGCCGCTAAGCTTTAGGTTTTTGTGCGTTACCTGAAGGTGTTTCTCCTCCAGTTGTTTGTACATGTTCATGACTCTGTCTCTGTCATCCTGCAACGAGCCCATGGCCTTCATGAAAGAGTCCAGTCTGGCTTTTCTGTTGTTGCTCTCCTCCTCTGCCTTTCGCAGTTTCTCCTCCAGATCCCGCACTTCCCCTCTCCTCTGCTCCAGCTCCTCCTCAGCTTCCTGTGCCCTGCTGTCAGCCTCCTTTCTGGCCTCCTCTGCAGCCTGGGAAACAAAACACACATGAATGGTGAGACGTGTGTCAGCCATGAACGATATTTACTATGTAAATGAAAACATTTTAGTACCTGAGCAACAGCTTGCTCCTTCTCCCCCAGCATTTCCACCTCTCTTCTTTCCTTCTCATGTAACTCAGTCTGCAGACTCTCTGTCAGGGCCTTAGAGGACCTCAGGTCTGTCTCCAGCTGCTCCACGTTCAGACACAGCCGCCTCTCCTCTGCCTCCCTCTCCCTCAGCTCAGTCCTGGCCTGGTCGACTTCACCCTGCAGCCGACCCACAGCCTCCTCCAGAGCTCTGGCCCTCTGAACGAGACTCTCCACCTCAGTCTTCAAGGCACGGACTTCATTTTGTGCAGACTGCAGCTCAGTTGTAGTTTGCTGAAGCTTGCTCCTCTCCTCCTCCAGGGCAGCTTGGCTCTCTGCGACTTTCTTTTCCTCCTCTGCCAGTTTCAGCTGCCAGTCTTTGTCTGCTTTCTCCAGTCTGAAAGAAATGTTGTCAGTTATGAGTTATAGCTGAACATATGAACATATTAAATCAAATGAAACAAATACAGAGAGAGGGTTTTTACCTGTCCACTGAAAGCTGAAGCTCCTCTTTCAGGGCAGATTCTTTCTGAAGCTGCTCTGCCAGTTCCTTGGTCTTTGTTTCAGCCTCCCGCACTTCAGCCTCCTTACCCTGCAGGGCATCCTTGAAGCGAGTCTCCCACTGTTTGGCCTCGTCCAAAACTCTGTCCCGGTCGTCTTGCAGTGAGGACATGCAGCGCGAGAAGGCAGCTAACCTGGCCAGAGACTCATCCAGACGGGCTTGCATCTCCTGGGCGCGTCTCTCGGCTCCTTCTGCGACCTCTCTGGCCTCCAGAGTGGCTTCCTCTTCCTTTTCCCTTTCTCTTTCTACCGCTTCAAGTCTCAGCTCCATCTCTTTTAGCTCAGCTCCAAGCCTGAATCTCACAGAGTCGAGGGTTTGCTCTGCCTCGGCTTTCATCGAGGCCTCTTTCTGCTGGGCGTTCTGTTCAAGGGCTGTTTTCGCAGCTAAAGCTTCACTCGCCTGCTTCTCGGCTTCATTCAGCTGAGATTTACAGCTATCCAACTCTGCTTCAGTCCTCTTCAGGTCATCTATGGTTTTGGAAGTCTCCAGTTGGGATTGCTCCAGTTTGTTTTGGAGCTCATCATGGCCGAGCTGCAGCGCCTTAGCTTCTCTACCCAGCTCGCTGATCCTCTCCTGGTACTTGATGCAGTCCTTCTGCAGCTGACGGACCTCCAGCTGCTTCTCCCTCAACAGCTCCTCCAGCTGACGCGCTCTGCTCTGACTGCCTTCCCTGACCCTCTGAGCAGACCTCAGCTGCTGCTCCAGCTCCCTCTGCTTACCAGACTCTGCTTCGGCTTCAGCTCTTTCTCTCTGAGCTTGCCTCATGTCCTCTTCCAGCCTGGCAGCGCGGTCGCTCTCGCTCTGAGCCTTAGCCTCCAGCTCCGCTCTCTCCCTCTCCAGCCTCTCCATCTCCCGCTGCAGCTCAGCGAGGTGCTCCCGGTGGTCTGAGGCCTCTTGCTGGTAGCCGGCGATGCTCCCGTTTAGCTGAGCCAGCTGGTTCATCAGACGCTCCTCCAGGTTGTCCTTCTCAGTTTCAAGGCTTTTGAGCAGCTCTTTGAACTGAGCCTCTCTCTTTGAACCCTCTTCAATCAGGCTCTTTTCTCTCTCTTTGCCCTCTTGGACGCACTTCTCCAGAGCGGCCACGTCACTCTCCTTGTCTTTACTCTCCTGAAGGTCTCGCTCAAGAGAGGCCAGTTCAGCTTTCAGTCCAGCCTCCAGTTCCTTCCACTGGTCCCTCTCTGCATTAATAGCTGCCTCCATCTCCCTTATCTTAGCCTCTAACACAGCCTGAACACTCTCAGTCATTTGTGCTTTTTCTTTTTCCTCAGTAGGTTGTGAAAGTGTTTCTGGTGCATTCACTGCAGCTATCCGATCAGCTGCTGTCTCTTCATCTTGTCTTTCCTTGTCTTCATTCTGACTCTCAACAGGCTCTGCTTTGGTCATAGTTATGTCTGACTGCTGTGCAGTGACAACCTCTTCTACAACAGCGGCAGCAGCCTGAATCACAGTGTCATCTTTCTCTCCTGTTTGGGCAAGTTGTTCCCTCAACTCTTCAATCTGCTGCCCTAAAGAGTCTCTTTCTGCCACTGTAGCATCCAACTCAGCTTTCAGAGCCCCCAGCTCCTCTTGAAGTCTCTCCACCTCAGCTTTACGAGCCCTGTCCTCTCGTTTTACTACAGTCTTGTCCTGCATCTCTCTGAGTCTCTCATTCTCCTCCTCTAACTCCAGTATTTTCTGCTGCTTCATTTTAGCAAACTTCCTCATCTTGTCTTTGACTGAATCCACCTCCTTCTGTGCCTCTTCCGCCTGTCTTTCAGCTTCCTGCCTCCCAGCCTCATGCGTCCTCACCCTGGCTGCGAGCTCTTGCCTCTCCTGCCTGGCGGCTTCCAGGACTCGTCTCACTCGCTCTGCCTCGTCGCTCACGTTCTCGTACGACTTGAGCAGAGTCTCGTACTCGTCCTTCATGCCTTGGACCTTTTCCTCCCACTCTCTGCAGCTTCTGGCGGCCTCTTCTTTCGCCAGCTCCACTTCTCTCTTACAGGCATCTTTCTCGCTCAGTATGCCCTCCATGGCCAGTTTGAGGCTCTCACAGGATGATCCCAAGCTCTGGTTTTCCAGTAATGTCCGGTCAACCTCATCAATCAGTCTAACTCTTTCCGCTCTCAGCTTCTCCAGCTCATCCTCTGCTGACTCCATTTTCTGCTGCAGTTCGGCCATGAGCTTCTCAGTTGAAGCGATTTGCTCCTTCTGGCTTTTGTTCTCCTTCAAGGCCTCTTTGCGAGAGATCAGCGCAGCCTGAAGCTTCCGTTGAAGCTGCTGGATCTTTGCCTCGCTGTCTTTTTCTTCCTCCTGCTTCAGTGGAACCTCGACCTCTAACCTTTGGGATTTTTCTTGCTCAGCCTTCAGTTCCTCCTGTAAAGATGATATGAGCTGATCCTTCTGAGACACTGTGTCCTGCATTGAGTGTATGAGAGAGTTCTGCTCGCTCAGCTGCTGGCTTAGCTCCATGATTTCGTGATTCTTACTGTCAAGGAACTGCTTGAGGTCGTCCATTTCGGTCTGAAGAGTTGTAATGGAGGACGTAGAGTCCGCAGATGCTGCTTCGGCTGCAGCTGCCATCTCTGCTTTCAGGGTTTCAGCGTAAGACTCAGCTTGGTGATACTTTTCTCTGAGATCATTAATCTCCTCTGAGAACGCATCAATCTGTCTTTCCTTTTCTCTTAGTGTCTGTAGCTCTTTGCCCAGTTCCAGTATTTCAGCCTCCTTCAGGGACAAACTGCTGTGAGTTTCCTGCAGCTGCTTCTCTAGCTCTGTGTTAGCAACCTGCAGAGTCTGGATCTCTACTCTGAGAGCTTTCACAGATTCCTCCACCTGTGCAGAAAGGACGTCGGCCATCTCTGCAGGATGCTGAACTGGATCGCTGGATTGTGGTCGCGACGAATCCGTCTCAGATGTGGCAAAATCCACCCAGTCCTCCTGGACCCACTCACTCGTTGCTTGCTTTGCCAGACTGTCAACCAGTTGCTTTGTCTCTTGGTGAGGTTTCTTTTCAGCCATCGCCTTTTCTTCCAATTCTCTCAGTTTAGTCAGGAGGACTTCTCGCTCGCCGCTCTGCACCTCAAAACGCTCCAAGAGCTCGCTGTATTCTTCTTTCTGCTGCTTCAGCTGCTCACGGTGGTGCCTGTCTTTCTCTTTCGCTTTGCGGATGGTTTCCTTGCGAGACTCCTGGGCCTCTTGAACTTTCTTTTGAAGGGTTTCGCACTCTGCTTCGAGAGAGGCCACTTGGGACTGTAACGCAGTCGTTTCATTAGAACTGTCAGGTGCCTGCTGAGAGTTTTCGGCTTCTTCACTTAGCTTTCTATTCAGAACGAATGTTTCGGTGAGAACTTGATCCTGCTGGCTAATTTTCAGCTCAAGAGTCCCAATTGCCTCCTCTTTGGATCTTAAAGCTTGTTGGAGTTCACTGAGTTTAGCCTCCATTTCCTGAATTTCATGTCCTCTGGATTGTTCTACCGCTGGAATGTCAGCAGGAGTTTCTTCCTTTGCTGTTTCGTCTCGCTCTTTCCATTTCTTTGCTTCTACCTCAAATTCAGCAACCTTCTTCATGAGCTCTTTGCGTTGCACAAGTGCAGCCTGCAACTTCTTCTTTGCGGCTGCCAGTTGGGTTTCCAGCACTTTTTTCTCCTTTCGCACACTCGTGAGGTCATCATCTACATGAGCAGTGGAGTCCTCAGAACTCACCGTCTCTTTCTCGTCTCGGACTCTCTCCAGCTCCACAATCTGCCCCTTCAGTTTACTGACTTCACTGTCTATCTGGAACTTCTCTTCCTCTGCTTGGAGGAGTTTGGCAGACATACTGTCACTGAGCTCCATCACCTCTTGCTCCTTTTGGCTGAGGCGGAGCTGTAGCTCACTGATCTCCGTGTCCTTCTTGGACAGAGTGTCGTTGTTGAGCTCTGATGTCTGAGAGTATTCCAACATGCTGCTTTCCATCTCTTGAAGCCTCCTTTCAAGCTCAGATGAGAGGAGCTCTCTGTCCTCCAGCTGAGCGCTCAGCATCCTGACCTGCCCCTCCTGCTCAGAGAAAGCTTGGCGAGCTGTTTCCAGATCTGCCTGCAGCGCTTGGATATTGTCTTCCTTTGTTTTACTTTCAGAGCTTAAAATTTCAATCTGTTCCTCTAGGAGTTGCATTTCAACACTTTGTTTCTCCACACCAGTGCTGCTTTGCTCAGAGAGCTTGTCCAACTCCTCTCTGGCTGACTTAAGTTCCTCTGTAAAGCTATCTGCCTGGGACTCAGCCTTTTCTTTTGCAGCAGTAAGGGACTGAGTTTCTTCTTCCAGGCTCTTGATTTTCTCCTGTGACTCTGCAGCTGCGTCTCTGAGCCTCTGAAGCTCAGCCAAAAGCTCACTGTACCTTTTCTGAAGTTCCTCGGCTAAGGCCTGAGCAAAGACTTGGCCGGAGGTCATGCTAGCATCTGTGGTGGAAGAGCTCTGCTGAGTTACATGAACTTGTACCGTTTCTCGGATGATGACAGAGGAGGACTCAGCTTGAACTGTGGATTTTTCTTGCTCCATGCTCGTCGCCTCCCATGACTGCAGCTGCAGCTGGCCAAAGTCCTGCAGCATGGACGGCCACTCCTGGCCTCCATCTTGATTGACAGCTTCCAGGAGCGTCCAGCTGCTGTGAGCCACCTCTGAATCACTACTGGCGACCATCTCGTCTGAGGAGGTCCCTTTGGATTCCTCTGGGGACTCAGACTGGTGTCCAATAAGCTCTGGGCTGCTCTCATTATCAGCAGGAATGGAGAGGACTGAGGTGTCCTCAGCAACTAAGGTGGTCTCCTCTTCTTGTGTATCTTCCATGAGGTCATGCAGGGCTGCAGAGCTGTCATCCTGACCCTGATCTGGAGTCTGATCGTAGCTTGATGATGCAACTTCACTGGAGCTTTGCTCTTTAGCCAGTCTGAGGGACTCTCGCAGGGCAACCAGCTCATTGTCTTTTTCTAAAAGCTGCTGCTCCAGTTCCTTTATGTGCGCTGTGGAAGAAAACAAAAGGAGGAAGTAATTAGAAAAACACTATTTGGCATTTTTTGCTAGAAAATGACTTAAATGGATAATTGATTATCAAACTTGACTTATCATCACTAATTATTTCAGCTCTAAAGCATCATCATTTATTTGTTGGTTGTATTTCATATTAATGATCTAATTCTACAAAGCAAGACTATTAAAAGTTAACTAAAACTAAACTAGAACTTGATGTAAAAAACATTTTAATTAACTGACATAAAAACAGAAACTAAACTTTCATTTCATTTCAATGATTTTTTTATATGTATAAGTAATATAACATGCTGTGTTTACTTTAAACACAGTTTAAACCCAAATTATGTACTTAAACATTATAATTAATAGACTGAAATGTGCCTTGTGTTTTCTCTTTGCCTCACTGATGGCCGTGCTTGTTGAAAAAGGGGGTGTGGCTCTAGTGCAGCCCACATTAAATGAACACTGTGACTGGTTTATAGACGTCCTATCAAATAAATCTGTGCACTTCGGTAGAGTCAGATGGCACTAATCATCGATCTAGTCATCCTTGAGAAATGACGTCCATTAGAACGCATGGGTAATCTAAATAGGTTGATTGTAACATGATAACTCAAACATTTGACTTACAATTTAAAAAATAAATATACAGAAAATATCTTTAATTTTGGTCCTTGTCAATTTGGTCATATTCGTCAATACAACAAGCATTAGAGGATACTGGTGCATGTTCACTGAGAGTGAAACGTCTACATGACTTCGATTCAACCACTTGAACAAAGTGTTGTGTTTGTACTGTATTACCTATTCTGATCTGATAAATCTTGCCCCTGACAAATGCGCACCATATTACAATAAAAAAAAAAAAAAAATAAATAAATCTAATAAAAACTAAACTAAAACTAAATATTTTTTTTAAAAATAAAGACCAAACTTAAAAGAGCAAACCCACTATGGAAACTAAACTAAAAATAAAAATAAATGATATAAATAATAATATATAAAAAAATAAACAAATAACATTAAAAAAATAATAATTTAAAAATACAATAAAAAAGTAAATAAAAATAAAAACTAATGAAAAATACAAAAACTTTTAAAATTCCAAAGCTAACTCTGCTACAAAATTGTTAGGTTTTTTTTAGCTGTAAAATAAATATAGTGTAATTGAAGCACTCAATCAAATAAAAAATACCTCAAATTTGTACTTAAGTTTGTACACAAAGTTCCCCTTTGGTCACATTTTAAAGACATGTAAAATTACTATGATTAATATTTTGTTTAACCTGATTTTCCCACATGAAGTTGTTTGTGTCTGTGTTCATTTTTCTGCCCCCACATAAAAAAGCTAAATCTATCTAGGAATATACAGGTGTTATACAATACGAGTTATAAGAAAACATAAAATAGTATATTTTGTATGCCTTCATACTTGTAGCGTGTACTATTCAGCCTAGTTTGTCTAATTTTCCAAGCTTTAAAAATAAAACTAGCCTACTCTTTGAAACTCAGTTCAACTTCTCATTGTCATCATAATTCAGGATTTCTGTTCTGAACTCTTATAAAGATGCAGGCAGGTTAACATTATAAAGTATGACAAAACCACACTGATCTGGGTGAAACCGGTGTGTTTTTAGGGAGTCCAGTGCATCAAAATGGCTAACGTTAGCATTAAAGGAAACATCTGAGACACTCAGCCACCCATGTTTGAGCCTCAGTCAGACGCAGACTCAGATTAGGAGGCTGTTGTGTACTAAAGTTAGCGACTAGCAGATGAATCAGAAAGGTGATGTTAGCTTTTTAGCTTGTAGGCAAACTGACAATGGCTGACACAGCGCTAGCGGCAGTTGCAAGGTTTTTTTTGGTAGATAGTGGCAGGAAGCTCCAGGCTCCAGTTTACATCCAAACTCTATACACTCTACCATGTTTGCTGTCAAAACTTTAACCATGCTGATGCTAACTTTGCTCATTGTACTATCTGTCTGCTGTGTGCTTTAGGTTCCAGGTTTCTTCTGGAACCTAAAGCACAAAGTTTCTTCTCTGCAGAAATCACCACCTTCAGAAGTGGAATGTGAAAAAACCTCTCTGGTGACAAACTCTGCACAGACACAAGCCGGCACAGTCAAGGTCAGACATCTTGAGTCGAGGGGATCTTGAGATAGAGATCTATATTTTCCATACATCTCTGCCTCACACTCAGTGATGTCAAGTTACAGCTTGCCTACCCTACCCTTACATCTACACACAGTAGCCTTGTGAATAAGAGCTCTATATTTGTTTTGGCACTGCATAAAAAGTAAATAAACGCCTCTGACAAGCAGAGCAAAAATCCTTTGACTGTAGGTGTGAGCGTACTGATGTTAGCCACTATGTTTGATTCTGTCTCCATATAATGTGTGAGTGTTATTTTGGGAGGACAAATCCAGTTTTGTACCTTTATTAGCTTCAGATGAATCCTGTGCTGCTGCTTCTGTCACATCATCCTTTTCAGACATCTGAAACAAAAGAGAATTGGCAGGACTGAAACTTTCTCATCTCAAGATTAAACATTTACTGGGAAAAAATCAACGGGACAACACTTTTAAAGCTCTATATGGCCTCCGTGATTGCTCCCAAGTCTCTATCAGTAGCATGTACAGCTGTAGCGTGAGGTGAAGGTCGGATAAGACGGTCAGCTGTAACAGTGGATCAGCGCAGATGGGATTAGGCGCCCTTTCTCACACTGAGTTCAAGCATTGTCTGTCTATGACCCTGCGTCTGTCCTGTCTGAGACCGACGGACATCACCTGGGCCAGACACAAGTCGTGACCCTGGACCCGGTGTCGAGGATGACCCAGTCAGACTGCCCTGCTCTCAAAATAAAAGCTGACTCTGCAAACTGTTACAAAAGGAGCAAATATGACACAATTTTCTGACTTTGTAGACGGACTACTTTGACTTCTTATACCTCAGCTTATACTAAGGTTCCAGTCCCATGTCTTTCATTTCAACACCTTTTTAAACCATAAAAACAGAGACACAGAAAACTTATAGTCAAAGCTTTGCCGAGATGATAAAGCTCGCAAAGTATCACAGATCTTATTTAAGACTTCCTTTTGAAGTTTACATCGTGAGTAACACTTGTTTCTTTGTTTTTAAGACCTCACATTCATGTGATCTGTATCCTGGATATCACATCTGGTGTAAATGCACACACAGCGCACTGTGTCTGGAATGTAATCAAATCAGACAGATCAAATTTGGAGGCGGTCAAGCTTGAACTGTGGTCGGATTTCAGCCAGGTGGGAATGCAACCCGTACAGCGTGACCACATTCTTAGGAAGAAACCCCACACAGCAACAGCCAGTTGAACTCCACCTCTTCCTGCGTGCTTAAAGGGACAGTCCCACCCCCCCAAATTATCATATGTAAGTCAGTTACTCAACCTGTGTTACACTGAATTTGTGGTGTTTCTGTGTCATAAACAACATCAGCTATCATGATCAAGCCTGATTTCAATAAGGTACAATGTTTGAAGCTGGCTGAGTGTTGTTTGATCACTGATAGCACTGTTTTGAAGATGAATGACCGACTTGTCATTTGGAGCTCCGCCTGGATCTTTGCATGGAAAAAACACTATAGAATGGTCAGACTTTGAGAAATCTTCTTCAAATTTAAAACAAATGTTCACTGATAGTGTGCTTACAGCCCCATAGTGTCATTTACCTGCTCAGATGAAGCCACAGACAGTTATTCATCCTGAAACACATTTTTTATTTTATTTTAGGCATTTTAGGCATTTTTTTTTACTGATTTCAGAGGCCCATTACTCTGTCTCTGTATCACCTAGAGTGTTTCTGTTTCACAAGAAACTTCAGAGAGTTTTCTTTCTGGCAAGACCTCATGCATGCATGTAGTCAGAGCGGTTCAGAAGCTACAGTCATTTTAATTTGGGTATGTCATTTTAGGCGTTTTTGCTATAAAATGGGGCTGGAGTGCAAGAGGTTAATATAATTTTGTTTCGTGGACCCCTATGACTTCAATTTGTCAAGAATTTTCAGAGTTTTTGGATTCTTCACTCACCATGGAGGGATGCGACAAAAACAAAGTTTTCCTCACAAATTCAATGTAGCATGGGTTGAGTAATTGATACACATATTATCACCTGATGGGATGAAGTGTTCCTTTAAACTGCCCATCAAATACTACAACTGGTAGCTAGTCTTCCTTGACAAACCGTGATTTAAAAATGAATTTCCATACTGAGCTCCCATCCCATCACAGGCAGAACTGAGATAACAACAACACATTTTACTACCACACGTAAATGCAAAAGCCTGTGGATAATCCATATTGTATGTTACAGATCATATGTTAATGTCAGATGTGAACAAGTTCTCAGCACTGACCGTTACAATCTGATGCTCCAGTTGTTGAATCTTGGCGGTGGTTTCCTCCTGTTCTGTAGTTTTTATGTCCAGTTGTTCTGAAAAACCAGTTCATACAAAAACATTTTGAGACAACTAAAAAGGTTCGACATGAGCACACTGAATTTCATAAGCAGATACAGTTTCTCACCCTGAAGGCTTTCCATGGAGTGGGTGAGCTCTGCACAGCGTCCCTCACTCTCACTGCGTTCATGTTTCAGGCTTGTCAGTTGTGACTCAATAGACTGCACAGTGTCCAGGAGCAGGGAGAGGTCAGCAGGGACGGGGGCTTCCTCTGCTGCTTGCACATCCTCCAGAGCCAGAGAACGTAGATGTCTCCAAATTTCACCCAGGATGTCACTCTTCCTCTGGGCATCTTCGTGTTCCTCCTTCAGTGACGCCAGCTCTCGCTCCAATTTATCAACTTCTGATTTCTCCCTCTCGGAGGCGTCCTGGTGGGCATGGACGGCTGCCTCCCTCATAGATGCAAGTTCACTTTCAAGACGGACTATTTCCGCTCTGTCGCACTCTGAAGCATCACGGCTCGCTTGAACGGCTGCGAGCTCAGCCTCTTTCATCAGAGACAGTTCCCTCTCCAATCTGGCAACTTCCATCCTCTCCTTCTCCAGAGCCTCCCGACTAACATGCTCTGCCTCTCTCAGGGAGGCGAGCTCGCCCTCTTGCCTCGCCGCCTTTGTTCTCTCCGTTTCCAAGTCCGCCAGGCTGGTTCGGAGGGCCGCTACTTCTGCGTCTGCCCTGCTGGCCTGTTCGGCCCACTGCTGCCTGTCCTCCTCCCTCCGCTTAACGGCCTCGGTCAGCTCCTGCTCCATCTGCCGGAACTGTGCAGTCAAGATCTGAGAGACGAAGAAAGAGGATATGAGTGGGTGTGTGTTGTGTGGTTCAGCCAAACAATGCATAACAATGATGTGCTGTCAAGATGTGGGGTGTGTCTGTTTGAACAGTTTTCTTTTCATCAAGCGGGAGCAGCGTTGACAACAGCTGAGGCATCTGTAAATATCTGCCAACATGCAGGACCAAGTCGCTGCCCAAATGGCATCCAGTGCATCAGGATCTGTACCTGTTTTTGCTGATCCGCGCTGCTCACTTCCTGCTGCAGCATTTCCAGGACTTGTGATCGAGAGTTCAAGGCCTCCTCCAGCTCTTCACAACGTCTCTGCGCTGTGTGCAGGGCCTGGGAGAAAGCACAAATAAGATGAACGTTCATGTGAAGTGTGGCCCTCATCTGCTTTTTGACTAATGACCAAACTGAAACATTTCTGTGTTTATCCTCTGTGTTATTTCAGAATAAAGTCACAGTTCATGGACTATGTGTGGCCTGGTCTGAAGGATTTTCTTATCTGAATTAAGGGTCTAACAGTAGAGGGTGTTGTATGTTGTAGAAACTGTAAGGTCCTGTGAGTCATATTTGTTATTCCGGGACTCCTGGACGTTGTACCTGCTGAAGCTCGCCGTCACTCTGAGACTGTGTTGTGACCCTCAGCAGCTCCTCCTCATGTTTCTGGATCTGTTCCTGGAAGCGCACGTCCTTCTCACACACCACAGCCTGCAGTTTCTGCAACTGAAAACAAAAACACAACAAATCATTCAGTCTCGTGAAAATAAAAACCACTATCTGTTAACAGAGTGGCAAAATCAAAGAAGCAGCTCTGTCACCTCTTCAGCATGTGCAGCTTCCTTTTCTTGAAGCAGCCGTTCTGTGGCATTGAGTCGCTCCCGCAGCTCCCTGCTGTTGGCCTCCTCCTCGCTCAGCTTGTTCTTCAGTTCCTGGAGCTCCTCCTCGGCTGCGGCACCGGCTCCTGTGAAAGAGCTGTCTGGACTCTGCTGTAGACAAAACAGATGTTTACATCAGATAAAAACTGAAGTGCTTTAATGTTGGTTTATTGGCGCTTCTCAGTCTGTATGAGATCTTTGCTGTAAAAGGCAACTGGAGGAGGATTCGTTATAATCCTACGAGCACACAGACAATCCTGCTTCACTTCACTCAAACTTACTGTCGCTCCTTCTTGTCCTTTCAGCTCAGTGATCTGTTTGTTTAGTGAAGCCATCTTGGCTTTGGCTTGCAGTTTGAGTTTGGTGAAGCGAGCCTCGGCTTCGTCTTTCTCACTCTGTGAATGTGAAGCAAAAAGTGTTGGTGCTCAGTCACAAAAGAGGAGACAAAACATTATAAACTATTTTCTTCAGTGTAGCCCCATTTCAGGACTACACACAAGAACACAGTCAAGGGGACTTTGAGTAACTTGTTTATTAAAGTTCAAGTTTATAGTGGCAACGACAGAGGTTGGGAGAAAGAGATGAGGTGGTATTTCGGCCCATTTTTGTTACAATGAGGCTGAGAAAAAAACCCTAATGCACCGCTTTATTCCATGTCTGGATGTCTTCCTGATATAGATAATATCCAACCACCAGACCAGACACTTTCTGCAGAGCTGCATTCTTCATCATCCAGCTTGTGTGCTCCATCAGATAACGAAAAGATAAAATCTTGCGTAAAATAAGTTTGACTGAAATAACAGAATTACTGGTTTGGACTCGACCAGATGGACTAAAATGTTCATTATAATCTGATGACTGAAAAAGATTAAATGTCAGTTTGCACTGGTAGCGAGATGAGGCAACAAAATCCAACATCTAAAGTCTGCACACAAATACAGTTTATCTTTATGGATTATACTGATACCGAATTAGAACAGTGGTTCCCAACTGGTGGGTCGCAGTCCATTCTGAATCGACCTTAACTGACTGGCGAAAATGTCAAGTTCGTAAAAAAATGCACTTTATTTTGAAGTACAGTGAATTTCTGGCACAGAGCTTTTATTTTGAAGCACTGTTTCCTGCTGTAGAGTGAGTGACTAACGGACATCTACTTGACAGAGACAGCAAACTAACTGATGACATGTCCAAACACAAGTATGATGCCAAATATACTAAGCTGTGTGGACCTTGAACTAATGACTAAGGAGAAGTCTCGACCCACTGTTGGGAACCACTGTGTTAGAACACTGTCAACATATGACGCCTTTTATCTTGTGTTTCTAGAGTTGTGTGTTTTTGCGGACACTTAAGAAATAGTTAATGTGTTATGTTTCTTAAAGGCAGTGTGGCGTAATATTTTCTATCAGAAGCAGGATGGGAAATGATCTCAAAAGGAATCAAGTTGCAGACTTATAGAAAGTGACCCTGCAAGTCTTTGCAAAAACTTTTAGTGTTTGACCGAAAACTCTTCAGATGTGAGAGGCTGCCAGACTTTAGTCTTTTCAAAGAATTCTCATGTATCAAGACAGAAGAATCCCAGACTTTTAGTCGACTAAAACTTGACTAAAAAAACAGGATGAGTTGTCTAAATATGATAAAACAAGGACTTAGATTAAATAAAAGAATAGCTGTCAACATTAACACACGCAGCTTATTTACCTTGTGCTGTGCATCTTTCTTCGACAGCTCAGTGTCCTTTTGGACGAGCTGGGTGTCTTTCTCTCGGATGAGCTCCTTCAGCTGGACCACCAGTTGCTCCATGTGGGCCAGCCTCTCCACGACCTCCTCAGGTGCCCCAGACTCCACTGGAGCCTGGCCCTCTCCGGCGGCAAGCTGAGGCACCAGCATGCCCTGTTTGAGGAAACAGAGAGGGTCAGTTTATGAGTCACGGGTAGTCCGACTGAACCTGTAGAAACAGCTGCATGACGTTCTCTGTGGCTCAGTGATCTAATGAAAGATGCTACTGAGCTGCATTATGGGAAATGAAGGACATTCAAGGCAAATTTTTCTGAACATTACAGTTGTGCATGATCAGCATTTATCACATGTAGACGACACCTCTGGGTGTGTATTACGTAGTTGCTTCTTTAAGTATTGAAGCCTGTGTATCCACCTTATTCCTGAGGGCACTACTGTAAAAAAAGATTATGGGCGCAACTTCCTGTGAGACAGAGGAAGTAGCAGTAAGCTAGTTAGTCCCATAGACTGTCTGCGGTAAGTGTGGTGAGTGGCTAACCGCTAACGCTGGTTCTTTTCTAAAGTAATTTTCCTTCAGTTTAGCAAATACTGATTTATTTTTTAACAAATATTTAACTAATGTTAACTTAGCATTTTCTAAAATGTCTCTGCGGAGCTCTGGTACCTGTTGCACTGTCCGTGTCTGTAACGACTAACAACCAGTCTAACCTAAATTTTTGCCTTCAGCAACTGTGTGTTGAATATGTAACCAGAACAAAAAGGGATTGCTCCTGTTGCCATGGTTACCATTGATATGAGAAATAAAACCACAAGAGTTTCACGAGACTTAGTGAAAAAGTATTACATCAGAATCTGCAGAAGAGAATGACACGTAGACTGACAGGTCCGTCACTCAACGTCAGTACATGATATCCCCGTCTTTCCCTGTCTGACTTCATTCTCAACCTACATTAGAAAATTGCTTCTTTTACTATTACTGAAGTCTGCTGCTAAATTCAGCATCATGTTTCGCTCAGAACAGTTTTTAATAAATCAGAAGTTTAAAAAAAACACGTAAACTGCATCGTTAATGCAGACGAGCGGAGGATTAGCTGGGAAACATCACATTTATTCACTTTAAATGGAGCTACAGTTCATACTGAATTATTAAATCTTTGACGGAAGTGTAAGTATCTCTTAATAAGCCATCAGAAATTGGAAATCATCTTTAGTAGGAGCAGATGTTTACCTTAAGCTAGCTCGGGCCATGTCAAAGTTAACAATATTTTAACGGAGCAAGGCAAGCTAACTGCTAGCGTGCTCAGTTGCTTTGAGATGGCTGTCAGAGATGGCAGATGTAAGATCACATAATCCCGTTTGAGCTTTAACAGGTGGTGTGTTCCACGTTTTATTTCCCAAGAATAGAGTACTGTAAACAAACTGTTACCATTGGAAATCGCAGGTTTTGGTTCTACGCAGGAAGTTGCTCACATAATTATGGTATCATGGGGGCTAGGAATAAGGTGGATAGCTTTAAATTGGACAATTGAACAAGTATGTATATTCTCAAGGCTCTTTCCCATGAATCACCTGGAATCAGTTCAACAAATTCCCCTTCTCACTTCTGCTTTATTTATTATTTATTCATAGGAGAAATCGACTTACTTTAATGTGGTGACAGTTTCAGACAGTCATCTATTTTCACTGCGTTTCCGTCTGAAAACCTTTTAGGTATTTACGTATGCAATCTTTAACTTGTAGATAGCGAAAGAAGCTATCGTTCTCCGGGCTGTAGTTCCTCTGTATGCCACAACTTAATGGAAGTGACGAACTATATCACTGGAATGCCTCTTTAATGTGGGAGAGAAATGTGTCCTTGAATGTGCGGACGCTCTGGAACCAAACGAGTTATGCAAATATGAAATTCTGAGTCAGTGAAACTATGAAAGATAAAGCAGTCTTTGACCTAATTCTGTACAGATAGGATATCTTAAGAAATTATCTGTCTTTATTTTAAAAGATCAGAGACGTTTTCTATCATCATCCTCTCGTTTTTTCACCAGTGGCTCCAAAAGGAGGATAAATGCTCTCTGTTATAGTGTGTTATAACTGATGTGTTGCTGTCTCACCTGTGGGTCTCCATCTGGGGCCTCCTCTCCAGAGAGCTCCTGGAGGACTGTGGCCAGACGGCTCAACATAAAGCTGGCACTGTGAGGGAGAAAAAAATATGTATCAAAGGTCTGAGGCTTCAGTGTAAACTAAAATAAGTAGTCTGGCATATAAATCATGTCTCCACTGCACCTGCGCCAGCCCTATTCTGTACCCTGTAGATAAAATGGTGGGAGCATAACACCTATGTTGATTCTTCCTCCATCAGTGTGTCTAATTTTCCTCACACAGCAGCCTGGAGTAAAGCCTGTCTTATCGTAATGCAGAGTACATAATGGAGGATTTGTACATTTGCCTTTTTAGTACGTCTCTGCAGAGAACAGCTTGAAGTGCTGCCTGATAGCTGCATACACACACAGTCCTAAAGCATACTGTATTTTACTTCTGTGTGCACATACTGTCTGCAGGCGGCCACATGTTACTCTACACTGGAGCTGATACTATGAGTCCATTAATGAAAAGGACGGAGAAATAACTGGCTATAACTACTCAGACAATCGAGTACTTGTTTTTCAAGTCAACGTACTTTCGTTTCAGCTTCGCAGCTTTGTTGTTTTTCTTTTGCCTTATCTGATAATGAACAGAATATATTTAGGTTTTGGGGAGGTGGTTAAAAAATAAGCTACTGGATATCAGACTCAGCTTGAATGGCCAAGTGAGTTTACACATACATGGACTTTGACTCCTGTTTAAAGTTGCTCTCGGTGTTACACACACTTACAATAGAGAGGAGATAGAAAGAGACATAAAGCTAAAAACAAGGACAACAAAACTGAACACACAGGTGAAATAAACATGGAACTATAGTACTGTTGTATTGTATTATTTCAGGTTTGTTTTTCTGTTGTTGTTTTTTCATTTTCATCATCATTTTTTGTGCCATGTGTTTGTTTGTGGCTTATAACGCAATGTAATTTTTTTCCTTATTTAAATAGTTGAGGACTTTGGATAAGCAGGTCAGGTTTACTCCCTCTCCAGCACTGCAATTATCTCTGTTCTATATGTTTTCTTATAATTGTGTAAATAAATAAGCCTAAACCTAACATATCCATACAAGTAGGTAAAAAAGGGAGAAATCACATAATCATTTGAGGCTCCAGGAAACTATGGCTGTAATGGTTTTATATGTTTTATATGTCAAACAATTCATCAGTTAATGAAGAAAATCAGCAGATTAACTGTTAATCAGCTGTTGAATGTAACTAAGTACATTTACTCAAGCACTGTGCATAAGAACAGATTTAAAATACTTTTACTTTACTTAAGTATTTGCAACTTTCTACTTCACTGCACTTGAGAGGGAAATACTGTATTTATATGTCACTACAATTATTTAAACTTTAGTTACTAGTTGCTTTAAAAATTAGGATTTTTGCACACACCATGTAAAAAATACATGTGCAGCTGAATCCATAATCAACTGACTGATGAGAAAATTAATTGGCAACTGCTTTGATAATTGTTTTCATTGTTTTTCATGCAAAATTATGTTGTTGTTTCCATCTTCTTAAATATGATATTTTTTTAAAGGTTTTTCCTTTTAATTATTTTGATTAATTTGATAGATTTTTTTCCCGCATTGAGTGCTTTTACTTTTAATACTTAAATACATTTTGCGACTGTACATACATACTTATATTTAAGTAACATCTTCAATGCAGGACTTTTACTAGTAACAGAGTATTTTTACAGTGTGGTATTAGTACTTTAAGTAAAGGATCTGAATACTTCCTCCACCACTGCTGTTAATAGACAGAATTGTTGGCTGCAGCTCTACAAATGACATTTCAAAACCCACTGCAAAAACAGGCCTGAAACAAAAAATAAAAAGCATTATTTTTGGAAAATACTAAGTCTCTACATATGAATTTAACAGTGTAATATGGAGTGTATGTAAATTATTGTTGGTAATACATTTATATTACAGTGTTTAGGATATTCGGGGAGCGTTTCAGAACCTGACAGATTTGCAGAACCAGTTTTAAATAAATAAACTATTATGACAGGCTTAAACTAACACATATTTTCTATTTTTGAGAGTCAACAGACTCTGAGTCAACACACTGGCACTTGGACTAATTCACCTGTCAGCAGATATAATCCCATGACTGATTTCTTATATTTCAACTGTGTAATATAGACTTAAAGGTACAATCATTTTTTATAACACTGTCTTAACTGCACAATTATTCAACTGCAGCAATACTCAATTATTCAACTGTGCCATATTCTTCAGTATTCTAATTTATTCTTACCAACACCACTCTTGAATGAATATTTAACTATGTTGCACATACTGTATAGATGTTATTCTTATGTCTACTTCTATTTATATATATATTGTGTTGTACACTGTAGCATTATACACATATTTTTACATACTTTGTGACTTATTCTTGTTATTCCTGCTTCTGAGATTCTCTACGCTTTGCATCAGAGCGTCTGTAATGTATCACAATTTCCTAAAAATGATATTGCAACCACAGACTGTATTTTTCTCATGTAAAGTAAAACACTTTGGCTTGACATTCACAACTGGATAAAACTGAATATTTCATCATTTTCAGCTTCTCTCTCCAGAGACAATATTACATTTGGTTACATTTGAGCAACAGAAATGATGAACTCTGTTGTAACTTATGTATATGTCTAGCAAAATTGTTCACACATAAGAACAGAATCCTGAAATAACCCTCCAACTTTTTCTTGAATAAATTTAAACTGTACACTGAGTCATAAAATCTAACGAAAGGGAATTATATTATATCCTAAAAGTTTCCCAAAGCATTAGATAACTGAGTTAGATGTATTTTCTCCTTGTATGCTATGTATCTATTTTTTAGTAATATTTTTCTTCGTCTTTGTTGTTTAATAATTAATTTCTATTCAACTTACAGTTAATAGCACTCCCTTATTATCATTTGTCAATCTTGTATTACACTGCTGATATCTTTGCCAACTTCTTTGCACTGACCTGTGCCTATATTGAATATGATTGTTGCCAAAGATGCTGTGTACATTCTCAATACAGTTAATCAAAAGATAAATTAAAAACGCATCACAGTTTCCCCCCAGGGATCAATAAAGTACTTCTGTTTCTCTTTTCCACAGCAGCACATTGGCAGACACTCCCCAACCTGTTAGCCGAGTTGGACCGGACAGCACCGACTTCCCCCGAACCTGCTGGACACTCCACTGCGGCTGCGTCACTCTTTTTGTGAACAGCAAAGATTATAGCTAGCTAACGCGAAAATGGACGGCAAACTTTCCAAGCGGCTGGACGACGGTGTCTCCAAAAAGCAGTAGACACACTCGAAGATTAAGCCACGGTGGCGTGAACAGGACACATCCGGTGTTTACTCTGGCTGCAGTTTCTTCAACGGCACAGTAAGTTAGCTAACGCTACGGAGCTAGCTAACGCTGCTCTCTCGTAAATAAGGACTTCAAAAGCTGCTTCGTGAGTTTTTCCCCTCCGCGCGTGACAGCTCTGTGATGCAGCCGTGTGAGTGGAGTATTTTTATGTTTTTTAAAGAAAGGACATTTGACTCACCTGTGCGAGTGCTCCCCAGGTAAATCTATCTGCTTTTTATTTGATATATTTCCTCGGATGGATGTCAGAGCTTAGCCACATCACCAAACATTCCCGGAAACAAAACTTCCCTTGCTCTGATTGGACAGCCGCACATAAGGGACTGTGTGCAAATTCCTAGGCGCCTACTCCTACCTAGGGAGCGTCTACGTGATCATATACATCTTTAAAAACGAAAAATGAGCCCTCAAGTGAACACTAAGTAAATCTCTACACTTGGAAGCATACAGAAGACACAGCAATGATGGCAGGACATGACCAGAGAGTCAACCGGATCATCAACCATGGCAGGCAGCTGGGGAGGAGTCTGCTGCTGCTGGCCCACTACACCACAGTGTTTGTGGCCTTCGTGGGGCGCACCGTGGGCTGGATGGTGGATGCAGTGAGGTGGACCAGCCTGTTTGCACGCTACACGGTGTCAGTGTTTGACTCCATCTACAGACATCTGCAATGGGGGAAGAGGAAAAGTGTCGCCGGTGGTGGTGGTGGTGGTGCCAGAGAGATCTTGAGCACTGACATGCAGCCACAGTGACTTCATGTTTATTATAACTGTGTTGTCCAGACATGAAGCTAAAATAAGACAACAAAAACTGAACCTGAAGGAGTGAACTTTTGGGGAACTGATGAAGTGTAAATGAGGCCTTACTGAAGTCAGAACAAATATAGCTTTTTACTTTTTTAAGCTCTTAAAACATAGCTTTTTGTTACATAGTCTTATTAGTGTTATATTTCTATGTGTGGTTACATAACATGTGTACTCCAAGTTTTGTTATTGTCAGGAAAAGCTCTTCCAAAAATGTTGGAAACTGTATTTCAGGCTATTCATCAGACACAATGGAAGGAACAAAACCCCCTGTTGCTGCCATTCATCCCTCATATCTGCTGATATGACTGTTAATGCAAATGTTACAGGGTAATGCAAATATAAAGGAAGCACTGTATGTCTTTTCTGTATTACATTATTGCACTACAGCAGAGGAAGGAGTTTCGATTCAAAGCTACATCACCAGCCAAATTATTTTTTTCTACATCTGTGCCTGTCTGAAGCGTACACCATATTTCATTTTGCTGCAGCATCTGTTGTTTTGTTTTGTTTTATTTTTTTTTGGAGAGCAGGCCGATCCTTATGTGGCGTGAATGAAAATGGAGGCATGAACAATGACTCAGCGCTCTGGCTACACCGGTTGACCCGTGGAGATGTTGCTTCCTGTAGTTTTCCTGTGATGATCTGAAACTTCTGTTTTGCTTTACGGCCAGTAAGAAACACTAATGCTCCGTTGTGAATGTACTCCAGAGGCAACTAATGTGAGATAAACAAATCCTGGAATTTTGATGTGAGAAGTGACAAAATGAAAAATGACCCGCAGCTGCACTTATTAATGAAGCTTTTATTTTTACTTTTGTATTAATGCGTATATTTCAATCCATAGTTCATATTAACTTTAGTTCAAACACTAACATGTATATAAATGTTATTTGTCTTTCTTTTTTTTTACTTATAAAAGAAGTTGAAGAATGCACTTATAGCTGCTGAAGAATACCACTAATACAATATTGCTTTCAAATATGATTGTGAAGATATTTGGGCCCCATTTAGACTTGGGACTTCATTTCGTACAAAAGCACTAAGACATGAATGAACTATTATTTTTCCTTGTTTCTGGTATCGGCATTGAGATCAAAAATGCATTTTGTGGTGTTTTGTTATTTTAATTTCACAGATTCAAACTGTAATGTTTAAGTGACTGTACCAGTCAGCCATGGGTCATGCCCTCTTGGTTTTAAACTGTGGTATCCAAGTAAAATTCTCTACCAAATAATGTTTCGCATTCTATGTGTTATTTGCAGAAACACAAGCTACTAAACATTTATTTATTTTATTGAAGCTGGGGTCAGGAGAAGTTTGGAAAAGCCTAAAAAAAAGGCATCATTAAAAACACACCCTCCTCCTGCAGCTCCTCCCTCTTTGCCCTAAGCCCCTCCCACAAGACGACCACAGGCATATGCACCCACATCACACAGTAACCCAGTGTTTCTCATACATGTATTTATTTAATGGTATTTCATTGCAGAGCGGCTCACAGTGCATTCACTCAGCCCCTCCTTGCCCCACTCTGTCTCTGTTCAGTAGGGCTGCAACTAACGATTATTTTCATTGTCGACTAATCTGTCGATTTCTTCGAATAGTCGACTAATAATTTTATCAAAAAACATATTAAAATGTTGAAAAATATCAGTCTGTCTCTCCCAAACCCCAAAATTATGTCATCTAATGTCTTGTTTCGTACTCACGGCAAAGGGTTTTAGTTCACTGTCATGGGAGAGTGTGTAAAGCTACCAATATTTAAACGTAAGAAGCTGCAATAAGAGTATTTTGGGGTACTTTTATAGTACTTTACTATGAAAAATGACTCAAACTGATTTGCCTTCTTTTAATAGTGGAGTAGTCATCAATTAGTCGACTAATTGTTGCAGCCCTACTGTTTATCAGACCACAAATGAGACAAGAATTACACAACTCACTTCCCGCCACTGTGGACTGCTTCCCCAGGAGGAGAGCAGGCAGCAGCTCAGGAGATGGACATTCGGTTGGTGGCTATAGCAACTCGAATTCAGCCAGAAGCTTGGGCTGTCCGATCCTCCGGAGCTAGGGTTTCACTGGCTGGACTCAGGTTGCTGCACCTGCTGCCTGCTCTCTTCCTGGTGAGGTGATCTGCAGTGGCGGGGAGTGAGGCGAAGGCATGGCCGCATCATGATACAGTGGGCCCCTGGGTACTGTATGTAAACCACCCCCCCCCCCCCCCCCCCCCCCACACACACACACACACACCTCTCCTTGTGTTGTTGTTTTGCATGTCTTTGTAGTCGTAATGCTTTTTTTTGGTGTGGTTTTATGTCTCTTTGTGTTCATGGTTCAGTTTATTGTCAAAGAACATAGAGGAACATGTTTGTCACCCAGGTCCGGCAGCGTACAGAATAAATAACATAGAGATAGACCCATAATAAATGGGGATAGGACAGACTTAGACCAGAGAGTTCATGAGCCCCTGGGACGAAGCTACACTTTAGCCTTGTTTGTGCTTTGAGGCTGCGCAGCCTTCTGCCTGAGGGGAGGGAGGTGAACAGGTAGTGTGCTGGTTGGGCGGAGTCCTTCATGACACATGACGCTCTGCTTCTGCACCTGCTGACCAAAAAAGTCCTCCAAGAAAGGGAGGCAGATTTAACCACATGTTGCAGCGCCTTCCTGTCAGCCACAGAGCAGTTCCCGTACCAAACAGTGATGGACGCCTTCCTCATGATGCTGGCTGTGTTGGTGAGCAACGTGAGGTCGTTATACGCCAGTCGCTGGTAGCTGGGAAGCCGCTGCACTGCTGCGTGGCGCCTTCTTTGTGCCTCAGGAAAACCCTTCTTTTTGCATTTTCTTTGCATCTCTTTTTGGTCATATTGAGTCTCTCCCTGGTCAGTACAAGTTCATTTGAGTGACATTTTGCCGGTGAGGGCCAGGAGGGCCCCCTTAGACTTTGAGCCCCTGGACCTCTGCCTTGTAGGCCTGTCTGACACACTGTAATTTGAGGCTTTCACCAACGTTAGCTACATGAATGTGACCTTGTAACCTTGTAGTTGTTGTCAATACTGAAATAGCAACTTTCCCTGCAGGACTCTTCACCATGAATCAGGTTTTCACCGAAACGACGTATGCACGCATCTGCATTAGTAGAACAGCCAATAGGAACACCTGTCTTCAGACATTTGGAGGAAGCTGGAGTACCCACACTGACATCCGGCATGGTGAATTCAAACCCAGAACCCTCTTGCTTAGATACAATAACACCAACCACTGCACCACCGTCCGAAAGAATGCCTCTACAATAAGCTGCCTGTCTGAGCTGTGATGATGGATCTGCTGAGGGTGGTGTGTTTTGTTGTGTGCACAGTCTTCATCAACAGCTGCACCACTCACACTTGAGTCATCAGTTCAGATGCATGACTGTGGAGGACGAACACACATGACGGATGAGAGCTGCATTGTGTCCGTCAGCACTTCTCGTGGTGAACATGTCCTTTAACGTGGCGATTATGCTGATCATCTGCATGTTCCCCTGGATTACAGCCAGTGATTAAACCCAAGGAGGACACAGAGGGGAGTGCACCGCCGTCTGATCCCCAAACACAGGCAGCTACAAAAGGCCCCCGCCTGCAGCTCCTCTCACCCTAAGTCCCGTTGTTGTGTGACTGTGAAGAGGGATAACCTCCGCTTCACAGTAGACCAATTGGGCTGAGAGGTTTGCTGAGCGGCTGCAGAGAGGCTCAGGCTATCTAACGTCTACACACTCAGGTGTCAGGAAGACATGGGTAACTCAACAGGAAGCACCGTGGATGACCTGCAGGCGGTGGAGATGCACCTGTGGTACAAGAAGTTCATGACGGAGTGCCCTTCAGGTCAGCTCACCCTGCACGAGTTCAAGCAGTTCTTCGGGCTGCGAGGGCTGGACCCCGAGGCCAACGCCTACATAGAGCAGATGTTCCGCACCTTTGATATGAACAAGGTGAGATGATGCTTCTTTTTTTTTTACCTGCAAGGGTAAATTCAAATTAAGCTGGCAGAGTCTGATGGTTCTTGTGATTTCTAATATGTGCCATGTTTTATTATTTTATTTTTAATCACTTTAAAAAGAGAAATAACGGACACAAAGTCAACACCATAGAAACATAAAGACCTTTTTGACATGAGTAGAACAACTTAAATGTTTCTTTCTGGCTTCTCACATTGTAACAACTTATTTTTATGACATAATTAATATTGCACGCCTGTTTAATACATTTAACATCAGTAGGGAGGCCTGTTTCTTTGTTTTTAAATGTTTAAAATGTGTTCCCTTGAAATTATTGTATTTTCAAATTATTTACTTCACCCTTTAAAACTAAAGAAAAGAAATTGTCCATTGATTCATATTATGTGCTTATTAGGTACTCTTTTTTTGTTACCTCGCTATGGTTCACAATAGTACTGGAAAACCAATTGTATGGAGGTCAACTGAGGTCAAAATATATTTGCAATTATATTTACAAATAAGGCTGCAACTAACAATTTCATTTTGATTAATCTTTCAATTATTTATTCAATTAATTTTAGGGTGTATAAAATAGTGGAAGATGTCCAAAGTGCTCATAAATACTAAAAAATAAGCATACCTATTTCCATGTGTCCAAAGTGATGTCCTCACATTGCCTGCTTTGTCTGACCAGCAGTATAAAATGCAAAGATATTTCAATTACAGTTATAATTTGTTTTAAAATCCTCTCTTTGGAGATGCTGGAGCTGTAGCTTTTTGGCAATTTGGTTAATAAATGTTTCAGATTTATTTTCTTTCGATAGACTAATTGCTCCAAATCTTTAAGGGGTAATAATTTGGGAAACAGATAAGGGTTGTCACTAATAATTCACTCATTCACTCATTACTTGTTTCTAAATGGAGTGTAAACATGATGAAAAATGCCCATCACAGCTCAGGGTGACATTTTTAATTTGAATCAGTCCAGAAAAAAAGTTATTAAGTTGATACCTTTGATAAATTGCAGGGTTTCAATTCCTCACATTTGAGGCAATGGGAGCTAATTTCCACCAGTGTGATGAAAAAAGTTATTGTCTTAATATCGAAAAATAGTTTTCTCAATATTTTGACTGAGGCCTATTTTGAGATGTGAATTTCATGTCATAATGTCATCATTTTGAGAAAGTTTCCCATTGTTTTGCCATAGTTATTAATTAGTTTGAAGAAACCTCACATTATTTTAAGAAACTGAGCTGTTATTTTAAGAAACCTAGTTTAAGATATTGTGTTATTAAGTCATTATTTTACAATGCTAATATTTCAAGATAAGGAGGTCATTATGAGAGAGTTTCCCATTGTTTTTTTCCCCATTGTTTTAAGATACTAAATCATTACTCATAATGACTTACAGGATCTTTTTCTGTTCATCATCCCTTCATACAAACTGGTTAATTTGGGGCCCTTTTGCCTGAAAAATTATTTTAACAATTACTTTGTGATCAAAATTTGACTAACTGATTAACTGACTAACTACTTAAGCATTCAAATGGATAAAAACATTTGAGTTAGATGGTCTGCTGCTTGACTTCAGAAGTTTGTTGGGGTTATAACTAAAGTTGGGTCAAGAGCAGATATGTTCTTAAAACTTCAACATGTTGCCTAAACTGAAAAACATCTGTATCATTTATATTCAAACATAAACAATGCAGGGATCTCCGAGCAACAAGCTTGTACCGGGGTCATCTCGACATTCATCTCAAGGTCCTTTGTTGATGCAAACTCTCATCTTCAAGGTTCAAACTGCACATGAATGAAAGGATATGGACATTTCAAATGCAGTTTAAATGGTATATATCAGTCCTGCCACTGTGCTGGAAAAAAAACTGTCTTGCCTTTAAATTTTGAGGGCGAAGGTGTCAAGGAGAACAACATAAGTAAGCTATAAGCTGTTGGTGATTTGACCTACAGGGAAACATACGTTCCTGACAACATAAACCCTGTGAAATGTCCCCTTAATGTTCCACATTAAGAGGGCATTAAGCCGAGGAACACAGGACCCTGGGAACATAAATATGCTCCCCTTGTAACCCTCAAATCAGTTTTAATTAAGAGTGTCTCAGAGCGTGCGACGGGGTCATCGCAGGATCTCTCTGTCTGAAAGGCTATATTTAGTCCCTGGTGCTAATCTTTCTGCATGATTTAAACAGTGAGATTATCTTTGAGACAAATGCTTTGATGCTAAGATTGTTGCCCGTGTTCAGACCGTCCCTGGAGATAATCCTCCGTCCTGGCACACTTTGTTTCACACAGATAGCTTTTGGAGTTGAGATGAGGGAGATCTCATTCAAACGAGCGACTGATTCATCACTGAAAAAAGACGGTCATGCATAATAATTTATTGATGTTTGACACTTTTTTTTTTCCAGGACGGCTACATAGACTTCATGGAGTATGTGGCTGCTCTCAGTCTGGTGATGAGAGGAAAGATGGAGCACAAGCTGCGCTGGTATTTCAAGCTTTATGATGTGGATGGCAACGGCTGCATTGACCGACATGAGCTCCTCAACATCATAAAGGTACAGTTTCTATTATGCATCTGCAACTGTGGACTTTACAGCAAGTCCTGGTCTCATGCTGATTTTATTCTGTTCCCGCAGGCCATCCGTGCAATCAATGGGAGTGAGAACCAGGAGGGATCTGCTGAGGATTTCACCAACCGCGTGTTTGACAGGATTGATATAAACGGAGACGGTGAGTGTGTTCTGGCACTGTATAGCAAGATTTAGAGAGGAATCGATTGTGGGTGGACAGTGTTTGGACATTCATCAGCTCCAGTGCTGTCATGAGTCAGGGAACACAACAAGCACAATGAGAAGAGATTCTCAAAGTGGCTGTTGAACATAATAACAAGATGCTAATTTAATTTTTAAGTAAAGACCTTTAAAATGTCCATGAGCGTTACAATGGTATACAGAGAAGTGCAATGCCAACTAAATGGGTATAGTGCTCTTGTAAACCACACTTAAAGTGCGGGTCCATTTTTTTCAAGGTTTTATACCACCCTGTAGCTTTCCAGTACAGTTCCCTGTGTATTCAATTCTGAACATTAAAATTTTTGTCTTAGTATGTATGTTTTAGCATCAAAATGCTAAACATGTTTTCCAACATCACCTGATGGAGACAGCCAATTGTTCCAATGCCCCAAAGATCTGAAGCCATGTTGGTCCGAAAAATGTCCCAGTGGACCAGAACTTAATTTCTCAGACAGCCTGTTATCCCAAAAACACACCTCTATTGCTCCTTAGTCCCGTTCCACCAGAAAATACGCATTCCCTGCAATTAGACAACCAGATTGCCGTAAAAAAAATTGTATTGTACGTTTTTGCAAACCATGGATACATTACATTTGTACATTATCTTGTAGCAGATATGCTGAAACTTCACATTTCTCAATGAATAGATGTGTGGTTAAGTACAGCACAGGAATCTCTTGCTTCTGGTTAAGAAAAGATCATGTTTTGGTTAAAACGTCCATGTTTGGTGGCACAAAATCTGCTGGAAAAGCAGGGATGGGTCAGTCAACACACCCAAACGTCAGAAAAAGCTGCAAAGGGTCAGTAAAAATCACCAGGGATCTGTGGCTCAAAC